TCAGCCTCTAGCTCCCTAACCATTATCCTTACCCTCTGCTGGACTCTCTCTTCATGTGCGCTCGGTGCAGAAGGGCTGCTGCTTCTGGTTTGGGCTGTACAGCTGCACCCACAGGTGTTCAGGAACTGGAGCCTCCCTCAGTGCAATCTTGTTGTCTTGCAAGACAGACAGGTGTCTACTGAGGTGCCCAATGCCCCCCTACCTTCTGCCTGACTTCAGACTATCATGGGTGATGACTTCTTCGTATGGAAATTGCTAATCTGTAGGGAAATGGTATAGGTGTGTTAGGCCAGGGGTGGCTGACCTGTGATATAAATAGCATAGGCAGCCTCTGTGTAGGGCAGTGTTTCCCAACCAGTGTGCCATCAGAAATGAACAGGTGTGCTGTGGAATTTTTGGCCATGGCAATGAGCTACAATAGATGTGAGCATGGGGAATGCCTTAATAGGTGTGTCGCAGAAAATTTGTATTAATGTAAGCGTGCCTTGGGCTGGAAAAGGTTAGGAAACACTAGTGTAGGGCATGTGACAGACCAGGGGTGGGACAGGGTGGAAGTAGGAAGCAGAGCAGCAGATCAGACAGGGAAAGCAGGTCAGAGTGGCACTTGGGCAGGGTGCAGAGCTAACTTGTGGTATGCTTACCTAAGAGGTTGGCCCCCAGTGTCTTGCACAGAATCAAGCTGCGTTCTTCCCATATGTTGTTGGCCAGGTCAAACTGTGTTACTGTCGTAAGAGACCCATATGAAAATAATTGAGGGTTTGTAGTAAAACTAGTCTGCCAAACCCTGTTATAAGGCTTTTAGAAAAGCCTTTCAAACCGTTGAAAAAACGGAGTGCTTGGATGCAGATAAAGCTAACTGTAGTAGATAATACATATTTTAAGAAGTATGGGAGTCTAGCAAATGGGAGACTTGAAAAGGAGGGAGGAGATTATCTGTTTCAGTTTTGGCCTTGGTGGTTTGGTTGGTTTCAGGTACTTTACTTAATTTCTCCTTGTTCATATCTGGGTTTTTAAAATTTAAATTAATATTTTAATTCTATTTTAAAGGGTTCTCATGGTTAAGTTTTACCACTTTTTATCTTTTGATGGCTTATTGCTGAAACTAGCTTGCACATGTATATGTTGTAGTTGAATATGAGCAATAGGGCTGAATGAGTTATTGACAGTTGTAGCGCAGTGGCATCAGGGCTTGATCCCAGCATTTATGTAAATAAAAGTATGAGCACCTGCACTAAATCTTGGATTCTGCAAATTAAAGGTTTTGGCAAACTCAGATCTTAAGTAAGTATGGGGGAGATGGAACCACACGTGATCCTGGATTACATTGCACAGTAACCAATTTATTCAACTTTGACTTTCTCTTTCTGGTGGTAAGTTTCTTATAAACTTGCTTATTAACTGACTTATTTGAAGGTATTTCAGCCTGCAGATTGGCTGCCACTTTTTGCAGCCTGTTGCTCACAATATGCTCTGTGCATTAAATTGCTCCGTTATTGGCTGACTCCCAGACTTGCATAGAATATTTCAAAATGGGAAATAAGTCTGCTTTTCAAAAATGTTCTTGTAACTGAAACCTTTTTGTCAGGTGTGCCAAAATTAGCTGCTTACCCTTTCTGAGTGCCACTCTGATTTCCTTCCTGTACCAGATCTGCTCACTGCTGTGCTCCTTGCCTGATTGCTGTTCTGCTTTCTGCTTCCTGTCCTGTGTTCCCGTCACATCTGCTGCTCTACTTTCTGCTCTCAGCTCTATTTGCTACTGTGTTCCCTACTGCCTGCCTCCTCTACCATGGGCCCCACAGGGGGGGCTGCCTGTGCCACTTGTGATAGATATGTCACAGGGTGGTCACCTCTGCTTTAGAGCAACTAGCTAATGTGGAAGAAAAGTGAACCACAAAAAGCTGTCAAAATAGGAATGTATTCTTTGAACCAGAAATGGATATAAATATTTCAAGCAATATGTACAGTTCTCTATCTGTTCCCAGAAACTCAAGACTAAGACAGGGGTGGGCAAAATGGCAGATCCAGCTGGTGGCTAGACTGCTTTTCCCAGCAGACCCTGCCTGCATTGCTGTGGCTGATTGCCGTGGAGACCCCAGGAGCAGCAGGGCCGTGACAGTTTGGAGCTAGGGTTTCCACGGAGACTGGCCCCAACAGTATTGGCAGAGCACATGGCTGGGATCTTGTGGTGGTGACAGCATGGTCTGAAGCCGGGTAAGAGCCTGGCAGGGGCATGCAGCCAGCAGATCGTGGCTCTGCCCCGGCTCTGGACCACACTGTCACTGCTGCAAGATCCCTGGAGCAGCTCCCACCCAGCTGTGTGCCCTGCCAGTAGGGCCATCCCTGATGGGAATGTGAATTGGGGCGAGGGCCCCGGGCCCTGCACTTTGGGGGGGGGGGGCCCATGGTCTGTGCCACAAAGGGCCAGCCACGGCTGCCATGTGCTGCCGATCACCACTGGCTTTGCTGCTGCTGCCAAGCGCTGCTGGTTCCAGCCACTCCCCCTGACCATGCTCCCCCACCCCACCCCAGGATCCTGCACACCCCTAGGGACAGCTCCGCCTGCCAGTGCTGCTGCAGCTGGTTGCCATGAAAACGCTGGCCCTGTGCTATCACAGCCCTGCCGCTCCCGCTGTCTCCATGGTAACCAACTGCAGCGACGCAGGCAGGGGATGCTGCCAAGTGGAGTCTGCCACAGGCAGGACTTTGCCTGCCCCTGCTTTAAGAGGCAGCCTTAAAAATAGCTACTATGTAAATAATTAATTGTAACAAATAGTTAAAATAAGTTCTTTTATCCTGTAAGAGGACTTTTTCACTTTAGTTTAAGCAGCTTGCTTATACACGCATACAAATAAATAGTGTGAACTGCATTTTTAATAGATGTTGACAGTGCATTTCAGTCTTTTGGATGATAGGGTACAGTCTCAGAACAAACCCCTGTGGGACCAGGAGAAAAGTTCCATGAGGGCATGGGCAGCTGGTCAGTCATTAACTGGGGGGAAGTGGTCCCCCCGCAGCTGATTGTGCCAACCCAGAAGAACGCCCCCCCCCCGGGTCAGCACAGTTAGCCATGGAGGGACCACAGGGATCGCTTCTACTGGCACCCCCACTACCCAGCCGGCGCTTCCAGGGTGGGGGCACAAGTGCTCTCGCCTGCCTCTCCCTGCTCGTCACATAAGGAGGGAACGCTAGCTGTCAGGGGGTGCACATGTACCTCCTATGTGTCGCCACTGCATGGGGGGTGCTTGTTACAATAACCAATTTGATGTATCGTAATAATGAAAACATGGTTTCTGCTGCAATAAGGTTGTACTTTAGATATTTTTTTAAATATTTGTCAGACGTGAATGCAACAGGAATTCATGCTAGTTCATAGCTTGCTCCTTTTTTGTCTGTTCAGGAACATAAATCTTCTACTCCAGGGAGTGGAGTTCCTTTTTATCTTAATTTTCTTTCTCATCTTGTTGGAAATTAATGGCCAGATCCTCTGGTTCCCAGCTTCTTGCTGGCTAGTTTGTATCCACTTTCTTTCAGGACTATCTCCTGTGTTTGTCTCAGCTGCTTAAAGGATTTCTGGTCAAGGTCAGTGTGAAAATAATTTGATTCTTGTTACTTCTCCTGACAGGTTTCAGGGACAGTTGTCCACTGTAGTCTACTGTTTTGGGAGACAACAAGAAAAGGAATGGAGACACTGGACTTGCCAGCCAATTTGGAAAGTTCAGTGCATCCATGGGAACAGATTCATTGAGGGTTTTTTGCAGTCCATAAGGTCAGACATTTCCATAAACCATTTACATTAAGTGTTACGTTCTGTAGAAATCAATATAGAAACTTTGGTGATTAGATCTTTTCAGTTTGAAATAGTTTCATTAGTTCTTGCTATGAGGAGGGGGGAGAGAGCTTTTCATATGTGAATTCTGTGCAGTCTTTGTCTTAACTATTTATCACTGAAGCATCGATAGCTATTTCCAGCTATCCAATCTGGATGAGGTGGTGTGTCCAGCAGTACTAATATTGAACCTGTTCAGAACTGGGATTTTGACTAATTAAATGTTTATTTGAAAAGCAGGCTGAGGAAGTCTGCAGGTGACACTTAGGTGGTAGAGAGAGCCATGTCATATACTTGTTTGTCTGTGGGTTGGAGCATATGTTTGGGACTGTATAGTTTACTTAATCCATACCTGTGTGAAACATTCGGTGACCTGAATGAAATATGTAGAACTTATAGACAGTCTGACCTTTATGTAGTATCAAAATATTTAGTATTATTTGGACCCCAATGAAAATTACCCATGAGTTCTGAAGGTATTTTACATGGATTGCAGAACTGTTGGCAAAGGTATGTAACCTATTGGTTAAATTTGTTTTGGTGCCAGAGGACAAGAGGCTTACTAACATACCTCTGGAGCTCTTTTTATAGACTGAGGTTGATCCAGGGAACTACTGGTGAGTCAGATTCAACTGATTTCTTGGGAACAGAAGTCAGTAATAATGATAGAAATAGAATTAGTTGGTCTC